GTCTTCCTTCCTTCCTTCAAGCTCGGGTCCTCTACTAGAGGCCTGGGAGCTTGAAGGTCCTGCGCAGTATCTTACAGTGTAGAGCAATTTGAATTGTTTTACTCAAACAAAATGTGAGAATGGCTTCTGCAAATAAAAAATATTGCTCTTGGGCAGAAACCTTGTACGTCTATATTTTCTTTTTTTTCATAAATCAATGCTATTGATCACCCTTTATGTCTTTCTGTGGGTTTTACAAACATTTAACCAATACAAAGCATTACGAAGGGCTTGTATAAGGTGATATTTTTGCCAGATGTATTCAACAACAGCCAAAGCTGAACACACAGAGTTACAAAAGAACACAGTAACCTATAAGTTTATGATAATGTGTTGCAATGCACTTATTGGCTCAGATTCGGCCATTCTAATCAACGACACACTCAATGATGGATAAAACACATATCTCAACATTCACTAGACAGAAACCTCCTAATTCCATTTGAGCTTTATTTAGCTAAAATGTTAATATAATGACACACAGAGGTAACTGACCACATATAAAGACAGAATACCAACTTTGACAATATAATGTCAGCCCTGTGACAGACTGGTGGCCTGTCCAGGGTTTAACCTGCCTGTCACCTAATGTTAGCTGGGATTGGCTCCAGCTCCCCCTGTGACCCTATTCAGGATGAGCTGTAGAGATAATGGATGGATGGATGTTGAATTATTTTAAATACACAGGGTTTTTCATTTCCTGAGAAGTCATGCTTTTGGAGATACAAAGTTTCTGCTCAACAGCTGTGATATTATGAACAATGGCAATTTGTCTTGATGAAAATTATTCAAAATTATTTTGAAACAAATTCTTGTTTAGATTTAGATTTTGTAAACTATGTAACTTTGAACAAACTATAAGCATATTTAAACTTCCAGTCCTCATTAATAGACAACAGAACTTTGAACTGTTGCAGGAGATTTTAATTGTTAATGTGCATGGGGGGGAGAACCCCCTCAAGTTTCAGAGCTGACAAGATATCCATCAGCCAAAACCCCCAGGAATGCTGCCCAACAACTAATCATAAAACAAACCAAAACACTGGAAAGAGAGTGACCTAGAAGCACCAAGGCTCAAAAAAGGGCCTTGTTTCTCCTGCAGAATAATAGACCAGAACACTTTCGATCTGTTAAGCACATCACAGTCGAGAGCCAACAACCTGGACTGTCTGATCCACCACCTACTCTGGCCTGCGTACACTCCGTAGACAAATTTGAAGTCATAATTGACCTTGAGGAACTTGTCACCCACAGTCTAGTTTGGACCAATTTTAATCTTACTATGAACTCTGGGACTTCAATAACAGCTGAAGTAGATCAACGAACCAGCATAAAAGCAATCTGCAGCTTGAAAGTTATAGACACACATGGCATGGAAAATACCGTTTGTTCTCCAAGAACTTTTGTTGAAATTAAACAAGGAACTGTATAAATCAGAAGATGCACTAGCTGACTATACAAAGATGATTTATAGCTTCTCCAGAACAAATTCTGCCATTTAAATAGGTTTTTAAAATGTTTCTGTAGAACTGATTGTATGTTCTCAACTACTGTATTAGTCTTTGATTCTGTTCTTCTTTTAGAATCCTTTGCACATTCGGGGCAAAATATATTGATCCTAAGTTTGTGACTTCATTTTGAAAATTCTTAAGTTTTTATTGCCATTTAAATTTTCTTTTACTTACTTGTGTGGGCAGATGTTACAGTCGGCTTGCTCACTCTTCCATTCTTCAGTTGTGCAGAAACCTGGAGAGAGTAACACACCCTTGACCTCAGGTTGCTGAAGGTCAGGCTGTTTGTGTCTGTTGTCAGCTTTTGCAAAATTTCTCCTTCACTGCAACAAGTCGCAATGTAGCTCTCCACCTCACCAGGAGGAGTGTCCCACTGCAGAGACAGTGATGTGCTGCTGGCCTGACAGACTGTAATCTGAGAAGGAGGGCTGGGCTATGTGGAAATATGATGGTTTCACTTATATCTGGAAATTCAGGTTCCATTAATATTTGCATTTTAAAGTGCTCTTTCCCAAGTAAACAGTGTGTGGTTAAAAAATAAAGCCACATATAATCACATCATAGTCCACAGTCACATACAATTCACCACCTTCTCAGTCAGAAACTAACACTTATAACAGAGAGATCATACCTCAGTGTATGGAAATATATTCATATAGGTCACAAGTCCAAAGACCATTCAGATAAACCTTTCAGACATGTTTTTGTTTTATTGGTTTGTTTTTTAGATTTACCTGTGAGGACAGATAGTGAGACTGCTTTGCTTTGACTTCCATCTTCAGCTATCCTTGTGATGCTGAAAGTATACTCAGTCCCAGGCTTCAGTCCCTCAACATTCACAGTGCCAGAGTCTTCAATGATCAAACTGCTTTTTTTTGTCTCCCATGAATAATCTATATGTAGTTTATACCTAACAGAGGAGCCACTGGGTGCCAGACCAAGAGAAACAGTCTCACAGCCGACATGGAGAACTGTTACTTCTCCTGGTGGAGGAACATCTGTCATAAAAGAAGAGAAATACCTCTCAGTATTTCACATTACAGTGTGTATTTGGTCATTTAATTTGATCTGTTACTGGCAGTCACACTTACAGTGGGACTGTGGTGTTGGTGGAGTGTCCTTTCCTTCCTCGTAATATTGCTCAGGAAAGTTATCGGACGTATCAAAGAACTCCTTGGTAATTGAGAAAAGTTGAGTTTAGAGTGTAATGAAACTGATAATTTTATTCACAACAGCTGATATGACACCAAAGACACGTTTTTTACCTCCTCATCAGAGTCATCCATTGTGGCTATCATACTTTGTCCAGATTTTTACTAATGCTTCTCACTGAAAATACCAGAAAAGAACCCTGTTACACCTTCCACCCATCGCTATTACACAAAAATGCACTGTTAATATACTCTGTAGCCTGCTAGTGAACAATGTAAACCAAAACTACAACGTACTGTAATCAATCCACATATACTATAGAACAAGGACAAATGGAACATGATGAGTGATGCTTTTATTTTAAGATATGGAAAGCCTGCATTTGAATAAAACACCTTGCAGGTACAAACCCTGACCTGCAACAAATGAAACAATTTGCTTTCAGTTATTTGTTTTATATAACATGAAACAAGAAATTTCAGCATACCTTTGTAGAATCAGCGGTAAAATAGTACATTGTTCTCTTTGTGTTATTTATTCAAGAAATGGTTATGTTAAGTATTTGTCCTGAGACTAAAGTCCTCTGCTTTCCGTTGTACGGGAATAAATAGACGGCTGTAGGTGTGTCTCTTTGTATTCCACCAAGTGAAGTTACTTTCAGTTTTGCTTCCTAGAACTAGTCAATGATTATCTGGTTTCCAGTAAAATTAAGTGCGGAAGTCTTCCAGGGGAAGAGACTCAAATTTAAAAAAAAAAGGACATCTATAAGTATGGAGCAAGTTTGAATATTCCAATTGTTAACAATAAATTCATATAGCAATCATTATCTCCCCAGTACACTTTGTAACCAGACTGTTTTTCACATTCACAATTGTTAATATATTATCGGTATTTTATTTTATCTGTATATTTTATTTTTTGTGTATGTATTGATCCATGTTATTTCTACAGTATTTCACATACTTTTCTTTCATAACCTGTTGCAAAATCAGTGCATCTGCAGTCTGGGAGAGTTTTTGCTTCATTTTTTATGACTACTTTTCTTTAACTTGTCGACTTGGCGACGTCTTTGCACAGTAAAGATCAACAAATGACTCTTCATCACTCATCTCCTTGATAAATGAAAAAAATATAATGCAATGGAACTTATTATCTCATAGGGCTACACATTAGCTTAAAGGACAGTGGTTCCATTTTATTTGTATGCATCTTTAGCTGATGTACAAACTAGCTTTTTAGCTCCATTGTGGGTAAGGTTTCAGTCTTCCCACAGTCCAGATTCATCAAACTGCTTCTCGCTGAAAGTAAGAAAAGATGCATCTATAAATCTTCAAGTATTATAAATAGGGGCAAACTGGCAACAAAAAGCTGCTCCAGGACTCTGCTGTGAAAGGGGCCAGTTTGATCATCAAGCAGAAACTGTCACAAGAATATAGCTACTCTAGATGATATGGCTGTGGCCTACAGAACTGTACAGCTTATTTTTGTACAGTTTGTGTTAGTCTAATAAAATGCTCGTCCAGCAAAGTTCTTTTCTTTTTCTGTCTCTCTTTTTTCTGCACCATCGGCTTTGGGTTTCCCTTTTCTCTGCATGTTTCACTTGCTACCGCCTGCAACACTGCCGGAGTGCAGAGAGCACTGGTGCTGTTAACCTGATCCTAAACTTAACTACAGAGAGAAGATGCTACTGGAAACGGTTTTCACAGGGGGAAACATATCCCGACAGGGGGAGAGACTTTTGGCACCAGACCTGTTGACACAAGACCAGCCCAACATGAAAATCCCAGAACATCATGATGGCCATTCTGCTCCTACCACAAAATTGTTAATACTGTTAATTTGCCATGTGACTTTACCAGTAAAACACTAGAAGATAGACCTCTATTATATCAAATGTGTCAATCTATATTGAAACCCATGAGACACATGTCTCCTGTAGAACTGTTGTGGAAAAAATCTTCCCTTATGTGCTAAAATGAGCAACCTTTAGTGAGTGTGAAAAAAGAGGTTTAGGACAGATCTGATTTTTGTGTTATTTATTTCTTGCAAGAAAGGAGCAATCTACAACATTCAGAGTGGCCTGCTACAGAAGCTCTAAAAGGAAAAAGAACTCATCCATATATACATGGGTCTCACATACAAGTTTCAAGGTTGTTATTGTTTCTGGCCAAAGGCTGCTGGTGGAAATAAAGCATCCCACCTCCCTGCCCACCTCGCCTTTTATTCTGTTGGCTGCTACTTTCACTTTTGGTTTCAGGGTCATGTGATTTCACAGAAAAGGGTTTACAGTAAATTGCATAATGAAATTCACCTCAGATACTTAAATGTACATGTAGTTTTTGTAACTAAGTCATACTTAACCTGTGAATAAATGCCACAAAGCAAATGTCATCATGTTTCATGTTTTCCTCACCAGACTCAACTTCAAATTTGCATGGGTTTAGTTCTTCTTTGTTTTTTGTTGCTTCAGAAAAACCTATGCCCAGTACAGAGTTGGCTGCAATAAAGACCATTATCAGTGACCTGTTACAAACTACCACATAGCCTAGTTGCATATATTGGGAGAGAGCCTACCGTTTGTGTGTAACTTGGCACTTGGAATTCTATACTACCTGACTTGTGTATGTTCAGATAATCCTCACATATTCCTTGATACACTCTCACTTGACAGCATGTTTAACTTCACTATTTGAGAATCATGGTAATGTAGCATTCCGATTCTTTTAACCATGCTAACTCTGAGAGACGAGACAGTCCAAGTAACTTCAAAACAGTGCTGATTTATTCAATGAACACAGGTAAAAATTAACATTACACGCTCAGGTATCTTGCACCTCCAACATGCACGCAGGCAGCTGAAAGATGAAAGACCCCTGAACCCAGCAGGCCTAATACATTTATCACTTAGGTTGGGCTGGCCCCATACTAACAGGAACGCCAAACCGTGACGTGTCCGGTGCCAGCTTTGCAGCTGACCATGGCAATAGTCAAAACATGAAGAAAATCAATGTGTCTGTGTCTGTTGATTGTGGTGTGTAGCTAAAAACATTCTAACACGACCTCTAGTGACATGTCATAACAAAATATTATGTTATGGAAATGTTCTTGTTTGTAACCTTTATACTTTTTTTTTAACTATTCAACTTTTTTTCAGCTAATTTTGCCCCATTCAAATGAATGGAAAAAATTTTCACATCTTAACATCTTCAGCATACTTTCAGATAGAAACACCATTTCAGCTGTCCCCTATTCAGAAACTCTTCAGCTATTCATAGTGTAAACTGCTTTTGGATATCTTTTATGGTTTTTGCATAATTACTGTTTACATTTTATGTTTCATTACAATAGCAACACTCCAGTATTTCTCAGTGTGTAGAACTACTCTTCCTTTCTCATACACACACATACACGCAGACAAATAAACACCTACACACCCCCGCACACACACACACAACCCTACTTGTTTTACCTATTTTGTGGGTTACCACTGGGAAAATGCTCACATCTTAATACGTTCACTGTACTTTGAGTTAGAAAAGCCATTCAGGTATCAAAATGTTCAGCTCTTTTGGGACAATCCAGCTTGTATATTTCTTTCTTGTAACATTTATAGTTTTTAAAATATTCCGCTTTTTTCAGCACATTTTGCCCCATTCAAATGAATGGGGCAAAATGTTCACATCTTACTATGTTAAGCATACTTACAGACAGAAACACCATGTCTACTGTTAATTAATCAGCAACTCTTCAGCTATTCATACTGTAAACAGCTTTTTGATATTTTTTACATTTCTTTTGCATAATTGATGTTTACATTTTATGTTTGATTTCAATAGCCACACTCTAGTATTCCTGTGTGTAGGACTACTCTGACAAACACACACACACACACACACAACCCTACTTGTTTTACCTACTTTGTGGGGACCAATGGCCATTTTTCACATCTTAATAAGTTCAGCATATTTTCAGCTATAAAAGCCATTCAGGTATCAAAATGTTCAGCTCTTCTAGGGCATTC